GAACAGTAACTCTGCTTGTAGGCATAAACACTTTTTTATAACCTTGAACATAAATTGATTGTCTATTTTATAATCTCATTTTATATATACGTGTCACCTTTGTTTGCAGGTTGGATTTGCTACCATTTTATGCAAGGCTGGTTGCCACATTGCATCCCTGTATGTCTGATGTAGCAGAGGATCTTTGCTCCATGCTAAAAGGAGATTTCAGATTTCATGTATGTCCTCATCTAGCTTTTTGCATTCAATTTTACTAATTCTATAATGTTCTATAATGGTAATTTTTTGGGAAAGAGTAATGCTTTCTATCATGTAGATGCTAATTCTTAAGTTCAGCAACTCAAGCTAGATTTGTTTTCTGCTATCTGAGCAGATTTGTTCCTAAATGCTTGATTTGTGTATTTTAATTTTTTTTTGACTTATCAAGTATCTGTATATATGCATTATTTGTAGTGTCTTTCTTATTTTCCATATTAAATAGTGATTAAAGTAAGCTGTGTAACAGTTGAAAGTTGCAAATCTTATAAACTCTACTCCAAATGAAAGTGTTAGCTTTCTGTAAATTAGTAACTTGCACTGGGAATGAGAATTGACTTAATTCTAACCAGGCCCCCATTATGAAGTTACTGCTGTAATGTAGTGGTTGCAATTGTAATATAGCACTTCTAAAGTTTTGATTTTTACAGTTTTCACTAACCAAAGTTTTCATCCTCGCGAATGTATCATAGAATCATAGAATATTTTGGCTTGGAAGAGACTTTTAAGATAATCTAGTTCCAATCCCCTGCTAGAGGCAGGGATACCTCCCACCAGATCGTGTTGCTCAGAGCCCCATCCAGTTGGCCTTGAGGGTGGGGGCATCCACAACCTCTCTTGTCAGTCTGTTCCACACCACAAACTGATTGCTATTTTTCACTGTTGTTCTTTCTACAGTATTTTAAGTTCATATAGTAGAATTAGTTATCCTGTACAGTGTTGATTCCTTCTGTTTTCTGAGTTTTATGGCACAGGTTTAAAAACTTTTTCATAATATTGACATAAAATATGTATTAATTGTTAACTGCAAGTATTTAAGTCCTAAATGAACTCCTTATTCTCAGGACAAGTTATTTATGTTGTGGAGAAATAAAATTGTCTTGTTTGGTATGATTATGCTTAGAGCTAAAGCTGTGTTTTCACTGAAGTTGTTGGATACCCAATTTAAAACAAACCAATCAAATGGAAAAGAACATCTGGCTGCTCTTTGGTAAACCATACTTGAAAAAGCTGTCAATGTTCAGAATCTCCATACTAGTAGCAATCTTACTCTTGTGCTTACAGAGTCAAAAAATACAATAGAATCTTGCTAATGCTTTGCTGTACCCAGTGTGATGGCAGTGGTTGATGGCAGTGGTTGATGGTTGATATGTGCTTATAAATGTTTAGTAAAGAATAGTGAAGAGTTCTGGGAGGGAAGGGGTCAGAGTCAGAAGGGGAAGAAGTGCAAGAACAGAGAGAGCATGAGAAACTGAGGAAATGTCAAACATTTCTAAATAGCGATGCTACTTACGAATGTTTGGCTGAAAGCAATTTTCTAAGTTGGTATTTTAAAATCAAGTGTGTTTTCTTTTTTCTTCAGGTAAGAAAAAAGGACCAGATCAACATTGAAACAAAGAATAAAACTGTGAGGTTTATTGGTGAGCTTACCAAGTTTAAGATGTTCTCCAAAAATGATACTCTTCACTGTTTAAAGGTTGGTGGTTAGTAGTTGTACGAATGTTTTTACATGCTGATGTCATGTCCCTATCATGTTTCTCTTCAGATAACTCTTGATGTTGGTCTGTAATAATTTCATTGCATGGGATGTTTTAAATCCTGATGTCTGTTGTTACAGCATATGAGGACACATTCTGCAGCCATTCCATTATAGTTGTATGATAGAAGGGACACTTTGAAATACACATTTGAACATAATCAAATAGCTATTGAATTTGTTTGGAAAGTAATGGTAGAGTCTAAATTTTGGATCTAGGCTATTTGTGAGATACTTTTTAATTAGATGAATATTTCTAATTTTGTTAACAGTGAAGTTAATTTGCATTTTTTTCTTAAAGACTATAAAACACCTCAATAGTATAAAGTATAGTAGTTAAAACTTACTGCTTTCTGCAGTTCAGAGAGGCGTTTAATACTTGTGTTTTTACGTAAATGCCTTCCAGATGCTTCTGTCAGACTTTTCTCATCACCATATTGAGATGGCCTGTACTCTGTTGGAAACCTGTGGAAGATTTCTCTTTAGATCACCAGAATCTCACTTAAGAACCAGTGTTCTTCTGGTAAGAGGGAAGCAGATTGACTCGTGTGAGGGGAGCTGTCATGTACTGGGTTAAACCAATTAATGATTTTCTGGGTTTGTGATTTGGTCTGACTTAGCAGTGTTTGTGAATAGTGTCTTTGATGTCAGTTACAATGTTTGGGTACCAGGAAGTGAAACTTTTCATTCAAGTTTGTCCTGAGTGCACAGAGAGGATAACCTCCTGAACTCTTTTAATAAAAACAAAGTTGGTATGAGAGAGTCTTCCTGAAGTCCTTTTTATGGATTAGAGCTGAGGTGGGCTCACTACATCCTAGTCTGCTCTGGTGATATCAGCCTTTGTAGTCTTGTGGACTTGCAAATGTTGTTATTAGTAGCTTACACAACACTGGGCAGTCTCTGATTGCACCTACTGTGGGAATAGCTTTCTGAGCATTTTCTGGAGAGCTCCCGTTGATTTCTAATTCTGTTCATGACTTAAAAAAGAAGTTTCTGAAGCAAAAGCTATTGCACTTGAACTACAAATAGTGTATTTGATACTATTTGTGGGAAAGCATTAGTAAATGGAACAGGAGAAGGTGCTTTAATGGGAGGTGAAGACAGTTGTGGAACATGTTAGTCTCTTCCCTTGGATAACCATCTGTGGTTCTGAATTTGAAGAACAAGTTTTTGAAGACACTGGAGGAAGGGATTTTAAAAATAGAGGTTCATGATAATTGAAATAAGTGTGGAAGTGTTATCCTTATGCCTAGATAAGTATTGGCAAAGATTTAAAAATAATGGGCTGGTTTGGGGCTTCTTTTTTCTGTATGAATTTGATTCCTTAATAATGTTTCCTGTCTTGTAAGGTGATCCTGAAAATTTTAGTCCAAGGCAAGACGTGGTTGAAGTGCTTCAAAGGTAGACATTAGCAGTAGGAAATTGCATGAAATTAAAAGCAGCTAAAGCAGATGCAATCCAGTGACTAAACCATTTTTTTTTAATTAGAAGCCTGACTAAATGTTTTAATGTTCCTTGCTGACCTTCAAATCCTTGCGTTGTGGCAAGATTATAGATGTGCATCTGCAGTATTGAAAGTAGTCACTGCATGTGGAGGAGAAAGCAGGCATAGATTGTGCTCCTGGAAAGGAATAGTTTACAGGTTCAGAGTCTGATTGTAGAGGCAAGGCTTTTAAAGCCTATGTAATATCATTGTCTTCTGTACGTGTATCTCCTATCTCACCAGAGCACAGGCTTACGCTTGGTAGGTGTTTCTCTTGAATCTATAGCCTGCCTTTCTGTCCTACGGAGTTAATAGAGCAGCAATTGTTACATACTTGGATATAGTGCAGTACAACCTATTTTCCACAAAAACACTGTTTCTTTCTCAGCCTCTTTGAACGTCACACCATTTATTGCTCTGGGGCTGTCACAAGAGGAAAAAGATGGGTAGATTAACTGCAAATCTTTGTTGCGGAGTCCTTTTTGAAAGGAAGCAGGAATATCTCAATTTTCTAAAGATTTGCCAGCTGATGGAGCTACTGTGGTATATTACTGATTTATAAAAGATGAATCTTTAAATAGGGCGATTTTTATTTCTTTTAACTCCAGCCAGTCTTTCAAATTCCATCCCTTGTACGTAATTACAAAAAAATAAGATGCAACATTAACTTGGCTGTGGGGTTGGTATGTTGATACATGTGTCACATGAATTGTTGCTTGGGAAGGAAGGTCAGCGTTATCTTCACATATATTTGTGTAATGTTATCATGATAAAATACCATTCTTGTGTTACACCATTGTTGGTTTTTGGTTTGTTTTTTTAAAGGAATACTTGTAGCTTTGTTTTTGCTATCCAAAAGACTGCATCAGTCTTAAGGATTTTAGTCCTTAGATGTAGTGAATGATACCAAATTATTTTTAAAACTCTAAAGCAAAATCACTTGTTTTTGTAAACATGGGATTGACATTACCCAGTAGCTCGATTCTTAGGTTGACTTGTTCTATTGATCAAATTGAAACAGTAGAATCCTGATTGTACAGACAGACATTTTGATGAAGTAGTTACCTCTAGTTAAACCTAGAATATGTTAGCTCACTATAAAAATAGTGCTTCCAAGAAAGTTAAAAACTTGTTTCTGAAGCGCTGGAACACGTGGAGAGGCAGGATAGCAGCTTGCAGAGCATAGCAAGTGTCGTAAGACAACAAACATGCTTTCTCCTGATGCATCTAGAAAATTTACAAAATATTCCTAGCATTACACAATAAGGTTTTGAAACTTTCTGCTTTTAAGTGCCTTTTCCCTCCTAAGCGTAAACAGCACATAAAGCAATTTCCGTTCCCAATTTCTAAAGTGCTGTGCATCCATTAAGTGTCTGTAAATTTTCTGTTATCTGACAGGAATTTCCCATTTAGAGAGGAACGCTCACAGGGAATCAAAGAGGAGGCCATTTGTGTCATAGAAAAGGTTAAAAATGAAGTGCATTAGTGCTGGTGTCATATTGAGACCTCCCAAGCAATAGATAGACACAATCTAGGAAAATTACACTATTTGTGGTGTTACTGTTACGCAGAAGTGTTCTTTGGCATTGAATTAACAGTTGAAACCCAAGGCTAGGGAACTGTTCGAGTATGTTTACATTTCAGTTTAACTGAACCACAGTCTGGTAAAAGAAACTTGAGTTTGTTCAAGTTCACTTGAAAGTTCATTGAAAATTGAAAAATGTGTGCATCTTTCTCAAAGGTTTGTATCCTTGTCATTGTTTGACTGGGTTGTATGAATAGATATACAAATATGTGTGTGTACGTGTTTGTCTTTTGTATTTGTGTGTATTACCAGTAGGTGACCTCTACTGAGAAAGTAGTTTAACTCCGTGCATCTTTTTTTCCCATTGAACCACCTTAGAGTGTTTTAGAATATAGCAGTTTGATGTACCTTAAAAATGCAGTTTGTAGAATTATGTGCATATATGTGCATAGAAAGGTTTTGTAATCTAATTAAGCTCATCTTCTTCAGCTGTAAAAATCAGCAGCCCAGAACTAGTGCTTGTTTTTGTACAGTATTTTATGTTAAGGAATTGTTAAAAAGCCACAGAATTTGAAAGTATATATTCCAAATGAAATGTGGAGAAAAGATTATATTCAGAGGGGAAAATGAGGACAGTCCTAGCAATCACAGTAATTGGTGTTGACATATGTAACAAGCTTTGGCACGTCTCATTCTTTTTTCCCAAAATATTCCTTTGTGGTAGATGCAGTTTTCTGTGTAGTCTATTCTGCTTTGGTAAATAGCAACAACAGAGCACGTAATAAGAAAAATGCCATTGCTTAAACCACTGAAAGCTCCTGTGAAACCATCAATACAAACTTTCTGGAGCTGCACATTGCTGTTTGAAGTAGGTTGGTATTCTCCTGTTGTTACGTCTCATGGGTCAAGAAATGAGTATTTCAGCAGTGTTAGATTCAATGTGGTTAATGAAATGAGCTTTATTCAAAATGCTGTTTCATTGAGCTAAGCAATGCATTAAGATTTCAAGTTAAACTGTGGCTATCCTTCATAAAAGTAGAGCTTGTAAAGAGAAATAACACTGACAACACCATAGAACCGTATCATGTATACTTTCTTTTCTTCTCTCCAGCCAACCTTATGGGTCTCTTCTTGCAATCTTCTGTTTCCTTTGTTCCATACTTAACTGTAACAGACTTAAAACTGGCTTGAGAATGTCGTAACCAACATCATTAACTAATCATTTGCATTTACAGGAACAAATGATGAGAAAAAAACAAGCAATGCATCTTGATGCACGCTATGTTACAATGGTAGAGAACGCCTATTATTACTGTAATCCCCCTCCAGCTGAAAAAACTGTGAAGAAGAAACGTCCTCCCTTGCAGGAATATGTTCGTAAGCTTCTTTACAAGGATCTCTCAAAGGTCACCACAGAGAAGGTAAATTTCTTCAAGTCTTTCATAGAGGCGTTGCTGAAGGTGATATGCTATAAAATTTTGAAGGTTTGCAAATGGTGATTTTCTTAATTGCAAGGAATAGGAATCATTCTGGTATCTCTGGTTGTTAAGTTTGTTTTGTTTCTTCAAATACAGATAGATCTATATTCTCCACATCAAGTGCTGAACAGACAGAATGAAATTAGAATTTTTGTGCTGAATATCTTGTATTCAAAGTCAGAGATAAAAGATGACTGTTAAATACACACTGTGAGAATAAGAAAACTATGGGGCAGATTGGAACAATTTGGTTAGTAGCTAGAGAACAGCAGTTTGGTTGTCTCTAGAAGGTTTTCCGTAGCTACTACAGATAGAGAAGGTGTTCGAAGAAAAGAATTGGGTCCCTTGCAGGTGTGTATTGGAATTTTCTTCCAACTGTGTGTGTGGGAGGGGGGAGCACATTGGGTAACAAAATATTTTGATATTTTATGTGCCAAAATGTGAAGCTTGTCTTAAAATTTTGCTTAGGTCCTGAGACAGATGCGCAAACTGCCTTGGCAGGATACAGAAGTAAAAGACTATGTCATATGCTGCATGATCAACATCTGGAATGTGAAATATAATAGCATTCACTGTGTGGCCAACCTCTTAGCAGGGTTGGTCCTTTACCAGGAAGATGTTGGTATTCATGTTGTGGATGGAGTGCTGGAGGATATTCGACTAGGAATGGAGGTATAAAAAATCAAGATTAACCCGTACGCATCTACTTACATTGGAAGGAAGACAGTAAAATAATCCCACTTAAAGGAAAGAATTATTGTATTCTCTTTTGTCTGACTTTTCTACCCATCCTTCAGTTGTTCATACAGGTTCATTTAAAATCTAGTAATAAGAAACTACAGATTCCTAGGACAGTTGTTTTCCTCCTTTTCCTAATAAGGATGTGCAATTTGTCTTTATGCAGCATAGTCAGATTGCTGGGGCTTAAGTCACTTGAGACCATCCCGTGTTTGGACAGTTTATAATTACAATTTTCTGGACAGTAAAAAAACAGTCCTAGGTTTCAAAATTAAAGTATGTCAAATGTGTATGAATATTTATAGTGGCTAGTTGCTGACTAGCTTTCATAATTGTCTTCATTGCTTTTTAGTTTTGTGTAATATGTGTAGCTCGTGTTGTGATGAATTTTATCAGATATTTACACTGCTTTTCTCTTAAAGAAAATAAAAGCACAGATTCTGTTACGGCTGCATGATAAGATGGTTTTGGTTTGTTTGCCTTTTTTTCATGAAGGTTAACCAGCCAAAGTTTAACCAGCGGCGGATCAGCAGTGCCAAGTTTTTGGGGGAGCTTTACAACTACCGCATGGTGGAATCAGCTGTAATATTTCGAACTCTGTATTCATTCACATCATTTGGTGTGAACCCTGATGGTAGTCCTAGTCCACTGGATCCTCCAGAGCATCTTTTCAGAATCAGACTTGTGTGTACAATCCTTGATACCTGTGGGCAATATTTTGACAGAGGATCCAGCAAACGAAAGCTTGATTGCTTCCTTGTATACTTTCAGGTATTATAAACTTTTGTTCCGCAGATTTCTTTAACAGCTCAGTCCATTATTTATTTCTCTTGGTTGTTCTCTAGTTTTTCAAGTCTTTTCTACCGAGCAACTGTTTCGTTTTAAAGAAAACTGTATGTCCACACGTAGATGTTACTTTTGCTCCAACAGACTGGCCTAGCAGTTGATTCAGTGAAGATTTAGGTCTGTCATTTAGGGTGTCTCAGTGAGTGGAGAAATGGCCTTACAGAAACCCTGTGAAATCCAGTGGAGGTAAGTATCAGGTCTTGCAGATGGGATGGAGTAGCTCTGTGTGACAGTGCAGTCTGGTTCCAATTATCTAGAAAACAGCTTTGCAGGAACAAAGTCAAACTTCCTAGACTAAGTGAACACAAGAGTCAGTTGTGCATCAATTGTAGTATGCTGTTGAATTTCATCACTATTTTGTCTTGGCAAGAGTGCAACCAGCAGATTGAAGAAAGGGATTTTATTTTTTGCTTTGGCTTGGTGCGTGAGGCCACGTTTAAAACATTTTTATCCAGCTGAGGGTTTCCTGGTAGATGAGAATCTTGGAACTGAGCCGAATCTATTGGAGGGTAACCAAAATGATCAGGAGGCTTGTGATTCCCTTGTGAATTTGCTCAGTTCAGAGGGGAAGGTTAAATAGGGAGCGATTAGATTGCTGTCTTCAGCTGCCTAATAGAGCTGGTGAAGAAGGAATGCAGAGAGAGAATGAGAGGTAATAGCAAAAAGATGCAGAAAGGAGAATTCTGTCTGATGGATTTAAGGGGGAAAAGATGTCATAGCAGGAGTTTCAGACACCAAAATACATTTCCTTGGGACAATGAAAAATTCCAGTCTATGTGGCTAATGTTACAAGTGTTTGGACTTGATTTCTTTCAGCTTTCTTCTTTAAATTACACTAAAACAAGAATATTCAAATTAATAATGTAATGTGTGTTTTCCTTCTTTAAGAATGCAAATCCTTTGTATATCAGATGTATTTTAAACCCCAAATAAGTGAAGGAATCGCTGTATTTTTTTTATATGACTTCCACAGATGTTCATTTGACTGTCACCTTAAAGTTGCTATTACTCCTTCATTTTCAGACACAATTTTGGCATTCTCTTTGTTTTCAGATTCAGCTGTGAGATTCTCTTTCTTGAGTCAGATTTAATTTTTGTATTTCTATTGCAGCTTACATGTACTAATTTTCTATAAAATGAGCTGGATGATAAATGACTTGATAGTAGCTACAGTCTTAAATCTTCTTGTAATATTTACTGCACCCTCGCCTCCATAATATGCTTTGGAGGAAATAAATTGTCTTGAAAATAGACGTAGGAAGAATTCAAAAGCTGGACAGTTTCTAAGTGTTCATCTCTTTAAAAAACTAATAATCTGCCTTTGGAAGGCACCTCCTTTACCAGTGCTTTCTGTGCTCAGTTTTCATACTTTTAAGAGTCTTTATAATGAAATAAGAATATCTTTAATGTTTGTGATGCCCAACATTGTCAGTCATAACTTAGTGTTAGCAAAATATCTAGTGGTTGTATGAAGTAGAGTAGTGATGTGAAATCTTTCGCATTTTCTACTGAATAAATGTGACCAGGTGTTAAGAATTTAGTAAGTGAAACAGTTTATAAATGCCAGTGTGTCTACAGCTTAATTGAATATTTTGCATTCTAGCGGTACGTTTGGTGGAAGAAAAGTCTGGATGTCTGGACAAAAGACCACCCGTTTCCTATAGACATTGACTATATGATTAGTGATACACTGGAACTCCTCAGACCAAAGATAAAGCTCTGCAGCTCTCTGGAAGAAGCTATCAGACAGGTGCAAGACTTGGAACGAGAATTCTTAATAAAACTAGGTAAGAGAATGAGCACTAGGGGTTGTGTTCGTGTATTCCTTAGGTTACTGTTGTCACGATGACGATGGTAAGTATTGTTGTTCTCATTATATGATGCTTTTATTGTCCTGATAGTTCTTTTACTTTATTTGCACTTTTGTCATTTCCCTTGAGATCGTATGATCTCTGTAACTCTTATATGATGGAGTATTTAAAAACAAAAAACCATAAACCACCCAAGTATATATGATTATATTGCCTGATACAAAAAGCAGGGAGTTCCTGCACACTGGTGTTGTAGCCTGTTGATTGAATTGGCCTTTGTCAGTGCTCACCAGTCATTCTGGTAGATTGGTTGCTTGCATCTGTTGTTCCTTCCTAAGTCTGGATTTGACTGAAGCTGCTGTTGTCAAAGGAAGCATTAGTGTAAGATTGCAGTGGAAGAGAGATGTGTTGCTTTCCAAATGCTGTCAGGTACTTTAATCCTTAGATTTCTTTTGGAATTAATTTTGGATGGGTCTTATATTTCAGCAGAGACCAATAGATGACTTTGATTGGATGATTAAACATTTTTTCTTTGAATTGTCTGTCAGCCAAGTTGAATGCTGGCCTGTAGTTCCTGCTCAGAGTGCTGGAATTTATATTTTTAAATCCTGCTCCATGTACGTGTTTAAAATCACTGCATTTTAAGAAAAAATGCCAGGCTTGCAAAACAGCTCAGCTGGCAAAAAGAAACTGGTTTAGTATTTGTCTAAAACTACTGTCATCATGTTAACTTTAACACATTTTATAGCTTGCCTTTCTTATTAGTTACTGGAAACTACTATGCTCATTTCTCATTATACAGAGCTGTTTTTTAATCTTCAGTTTTTATTTGAAGACCAGCTTCTTCATGACAAGCTTTTATATTTAAATTTTGTATGTTAATTATAGCCTTGTAAACATTTCATGTGGGTAGACAAGTTAAATTTTTGGAATATCCTTTAATGCAGTGGGATGAATTGTGTAATTCCCAGGTAAATACATTGGAAGTTATATTTTAAGATGCATTTCTATCTTTAATATGCTGGCTTTTTAATTAAAGTGCCTTAAAATTGTCTAGGTAGTAACTGAAACACAGAAATTTTGTTGTGGTATGATCTGAATTGCTAGGTTTTATGCTCTCAGTATGATAAGTAAGAAGTAACTTAATTCTTTTGCAAGGCACTCAGGAATTCCTTTGTACAAATCATAAGAACTTTTGTTCTGTGAGTTGCTGTGGCTCTAACAGTTGAATTCAGTGTAGTTAAGTGTTTTGGGGGGGATTTGTTCACTGAGTATGAGCCAGTACTGGAGAACAACATTTTATTGTGTTTGTTCTGGCACCAGCAAAACTCATCAACAGTCCAACCTTTTAGAAAGGGACTTCCCACCCTCTTTTCCTTTTGAAATGTGCTGGTTTTGTGATACTACACTTGCTGATAAACTTCTGTATAAGGTGGGACAGTCTTGTGAGGACTGGTGGATGTTGGTCTCAGAGAGATCGTCATCTGTCTTTCTGGTCTCTGAGGGCTGTGATGACAGATGTGAACATGTCTGCAGGAAACTGGGGGTTTTTTTTACCTTAGTAAGAGCTTTACTAAAACTGCAGTTTGTGAGCTGTTTGTTTCCACAACTCATTGGCCCATGAACAAGAAATAGTACCAGGAGCATGTTGTGCTGAAGATCACAGCATGCTTTGCTTTTTATCAATCTCAAGTTAACTCCAGGCAGAAGAGTGGGGTATACTGTGTTCCATACAGACCTTGAGTTGGGGTTTGGCCACTTCCTGTACCACTCTGGTGATTTTTTTTTTTTGTAATGAGAATGAACCTCTTGCACAGTTATGGAGCAGCACGGATTTTGAAGAGCACAGCATTTATAAAAAGGACAAAATAATGGTTTGAAAACTTTGGAATATGGAAAAAGGTGTGTATGTGTTCACACAACTGAAATCTGACTATCTACCATATGGCTGTATACACAAATCATTTCATTTCTGATATTTTGTCTCACTGAAGCATAACTGCAAGGATTCACCTCTTCCTTAAACTGCTCTTTCTGATCTTAGCTATTGCCTTCTGAGATCTTGTAGAGACCAGGCTGTGTGTATATGCGTATTGAAATTCATAAAAGCAGCTGGAAGCAGAGCAAAAAAAAAAAAACCACAAAACAAAGAACTGTGGTGTGCTCCAAACTACTTGTCCATTCAGAATCCAGACCTCTGGTTAGGAATTGCATACTGCTGCATTTGTTCTGTGTGTGTGGCAGAGAATGAATGAGGAATGCCCTGAGCACAGATGTGATGTGTTCATTTGCTGTCCAGAAATCTTTAAGCTCACTGTAAACCCTAAGTGTGTGGTTAGGAAGATTTCAAAGTATGAATGTTAAACTGTATGGCAGCTGTTTTGCCTCCTTAGAAAAACAGATTTGTTGTGTTCTGGAAGGCTGACATTGGCATCACTTTCTGGTTGATTGAGACATTGTCCTCTGGAGGATTTCGTGGCTTTGTAGGTTAATGTGGCAGGGAAAAAAAATTAGCACATAATGTTTTATCTCATGCAATCTTTTAAAGTTTGTTCTGTTTTGCAGTGGATGGCTTAATTTTTGCAATAGTTGTTTTCTAAAAAATCTTTACTTTTCTTCCTAAATATCAGAACTGTGCTCAATCTTTGAGTATTTTCTCTGAAAACGTCTCTAGTACAAATTTATTGCTGAATTGCACACCAAAGCACTGAAAGAGCCTAAAAACTTTTCACTACTGTAGGAGTGTTGCAGGTAAGGGATATTAGTAAGGGATATTACCTTGAATGACATCTTCCTGAAAAAAGGGCAGAGGCTTAGAGAGTTGCACTTCAGTTTTTGCACACCAAGTTAACTAGAATGGCTTGAAGATCTTACACTTCAGTGCAGTTTCAATAGTGTCATTTCTTTGCAGTGTTCTAATTGTTTCTTCAAATTGCAGGTCTTGTGAATGACAAAGATTCCAAAGATACCATTACAGAAGGGGAGAATCTGGAAGAGGATGAAGAAGAAGAAGAAGGTGGAGCAGAAACAGAGGAGCAATCTGGAAATGAAAGTGAAGTCAATGAGCCAGAAGAAGAGGTGAACTTAATGATTTACCTTGTCTTGCTTAAAAAGAAGTAGTAATTGTGATACTTTCTGAAGCCCTTGTATGTCACAAGTTAGCTGGTGAAATATGGGTATGCACAACCAAGTCAGTACACTGAGGGTATCTGTCCCACTTTTCTGTATACAGAAATTGGAATGCAATGTGTCTGAGATTCTGGAGAGACTGATAGAAACTTGAGCTGTCATTTTTACTCAGTACGTGCTGCTCTTCAGTAGAAAGATGCCTCTGGTAATTTGGCATGAAAACACATTCAGATCATCTTTATCTGTTGTAGAAGCAAATGTATTGATTGGATGACAAAGCAGTCAGTAAAAATAACAGGTATTTGGAGTGTGCCAATGTAATGGGAATAAATAAGATTTATAGAAAATAATGACCTTCCTTGTTTACTGTGCCAGTAATCTTTCGAATCAAAAGTGGTGTAGCCACTAGAAAAGCAGACGTACATAAAAATTCCAACTTGTCACTATGGCACAGCAAAGCTGACATGATAATGTTAGTATTATGATGAAATGAATTTATCAAGGAAATAGGCAACACTCTTTCTCTTGTTTTGGGTTGATTTGGTTTACTAATAAGCTGTCTTCCAATTGATGTCTCAGCATCGAAGTTTATGAAGTTTGCCTGGCTGTGTGGCTTTGCCCACAGATTAATAATATCATCAGAATAAAAAATGTTTGTTTGAGAGCAGGAAAAGGGACGCCTGCAGATCTTGTCCAACTACCCTTGCTCAAAGCATGCTCACCTACGGCTGGTTGCCCAATACAATGTTCAGTTTTCTCTGAAGATGGGTACTCAAAATCTCTAGGCAATCTGTTCCAGTGATTAAAGACCATCCCAGTAATAAATAACCAGAAGAAGAAAAAAAGAATTCCCACTGCCATGACTAATGTGTAAAGGAAAGTTTCCAACTGTTTTTTGCTATATATTCATGAAAATGTGAAGTAAAGGTAGCTGAGATCAAGCTGTAGATTTGCTGGGAAACAAACAAAATCAAACACTAAAACTGAACTAAAATTCACATGGAGGTAGATGGGGAGAGATGCAGAGAAAATGTGAGAGGAACCAAGTGCAAGTGGGTTCCTTTGTTTTCCTCTAACTTAAGTATATGTTGTGTGATTTATTGCTGGAAACTGTATCAATGAAGATTGAATAGAATCAGTTATGTAAGCCTTGTATTCCTCAGAAAGCAACTGGTGAGTTGTAACTTTTCATCTTAAAAACAGTTAAACATTTATTCTCAAATAATTAACGTTAAATATTTCAGGAGGGCTCTGACAATGAGGAGGAGGAAGGTGAAGAAGAGGAGGAAGAAAACACTGATTATCTTACAGATTCTAATAAAGAAAATGAAACGGATGAGGAAAATACAGTACGTATCATTGCTTTAGAAGTGATTTATGCTGCTTTGTTTTTCTTTACTACATGCTTTTTAGCCTGTGCTTCTCATAATGTGATTGAGAAAAGCAAGAATGCTCCTTGATGTTTTTCCAAATACATTTTAGTTCTTATATTTGCAGACTTCCACTACTAGTTTCTGAAAACACTCGTGAAATAAACATTACTACAACATGCTTTCACAGGACTGTGTATTTTCACAGGTAGTAGACTGAAAAAGATTGCCTAAGTGATGGTTTTGCAATACCTGCAGTGGGAGCAAACTGGTACGGTACAGGGCAGACTAGTTAGTCTGCACCCTGTCTCAAAACTGAAAAGGAGGCAAACAAAAAAGTGCAGAATACTTTTTTTTTTTTTTTTTAATTGGTTTTCAGAATGGCAAATTGTAATATCTGTACCAAACAGCCTGAGTAAGCCTAAATGGTAGTAATGATGATTATAAAACAGCATATTGGGGTGCTGTGTTTAAAAAGCAGCATATGAAAGCAGTTTTTCATAATCTGTGTGGTTAAATTGAGAATAAACTTCAGCATTGCACATAGCAGAGAGATAAGCAGCATTGTTGCCAGAAGCTGAAATGAGTTCCAGCACTGTGTGAATAGTGGCTTTTACTTGCTACTAGTCTGCTGTTTTAACTACTGAGGCACTGGAACATGTGCTGACAAATAGTGTTCATGATATCCTGCTGAATCCCAGTTCCAATGTTAGGTATTGCTGACTTATTTCTTTACCAGTTTTGTGTTTCATTTTGTTTCACTTGAAAAAAGTTTAGTTATTTTTTCCATGTGGTGAGCTATACCAAGAGACACATTAAAGTAGTATTCTTCTTATCACATTATGCTTTCCAAATGGTATTTGACTTGAAAAGACCATCTGATGTTATGGACCTCAAGGAAAAATCAGTTTAATTAGTTGTGTTGGAGGGTAGAGATTTCCTTGTATTGTTGTCAGCTGTGTATAATCTCATGGATGCTCATGCTTTGTGTCCAGAATGTTACGAGTGACCAACCTTCAGAACAGTGATTGATACAGCAAGTTTCAGAAAAAATTTGAGAAAATAATCCAGGCTAAAACTTCTTGTAACTTAAAATAATAATAATGACACTTTTGTGTATGTTGTGGAAGCAATGACAGTGTTTTTTACTTTACTTCTAGGCCAAGTCTTCATAATTCTGTTACTGATGTAATGGCATTTGTGTTCTTTTTTTTTTTTTTTTAACCCCCATTGTAATAGGAAGTAATGATTAAAGGAGGAGGACTTAAACACGTCCCTTGTGCAGAAGATGAGGACTTCATTCAGGCGTTAGATAAAATGATGTTGGAAAATCTTCAGGTATGAATCTCGTTTTCTTAAGTTAACGTAGCTGTACAACTCTTACTTAAAAATAAGTAACTAAGTGATTAATGCCAAATCAGCAATACTAAAGAATGACTTCTTTTTTTCCTCATGACCTCCCTTCTACAATCGATGTGTTTAGATAAGTAGCTTTCAGATATTTAATAGTTTGTTCAGTGAATATGGTGTACTCACAGATATTTTATTGGATGAATAACTGCAGCAGATATTAGACACTGCTTTTATTTCAATGTAGACTTCCCAAGCCTAGTTTATTAATAGCTCTGAAATGTAGTTGCACTTAATTTTACGTAACTGAGTGCTGTATAGGACTATCAGTCACATCAGGGAAATATTTGAATATTGCAAACCCTGAATGCAGGAATACATTGGTAGTATGCAGCAAAAAATTTCTTAATGCATAACGTTTGTTCCCAAGTGTCCAGTCAAGCCTCTAGATTGTTTTTCCTTCAGAGTTAAAATTTTAAATATTCTGTCCCTGTAACTTCCATCTTCACAAGCAAGGAAGCCAAAGGAAAATGCATTGAAGCTTTGTGAATTTATTCATATGTACTCTGCATTCTTGGAATGCTTAACTTCTTCTCAGTCATAAAAATGTGAACGTTGACAGACTTGCTGACACTTTAAGCATTTATCATTTATACAGTTTACTTTCTTTTAATAGCAACGAAGTGGTGAATCGGTTAAAGTGCATCAGCTGGATGTTGCTATTCCTCTGCATCTCAAAAGCCAACTGAAGAAGGGTCCCCCACTTGGAAGTGGGGAAGGAGAGTCAGAGTCTGGAGACACCATGCCCTTCGTCATGTTAACACGAAAAGGCAACAAACAGCAGGTAAGAGACTGTCAAGTATAGATTCCCCTTTAAATGGGGAGGGGAGGAACTGTCTTTCACTTCTGAAGACATTGTGCAACTTTGACAGAGAATGTTTTATTTTTTCATCGTTTTCCCTGAGTAGGGTACAGACCTCTTAATTTAGAAAGACACAAAATACCACACGCAGTTCCCTGGAATTCTTGGTTTTTACAGAAATCAAGTGTAACAATTCTGTAGTTAAATTGCACTGTTATTAGTTTTGTTTGCTGATTACACTTACTGGGACAGCAGTATGTTTTCATTCTATTAAATATAGTTGAAGATGGATGCAAGCAGTTGGCAGAATGACTGAAAGTTCAAAGGATAGGGAAAGAAAAGGTGAAGGAACATTGCAAAATCTCAGATTCTGCAGATATTGCTGAGAACATATTCGGCTTCAAATCAACATATGTAGAGTTTGTTAAGTTTCATTTCCTAAGTAACAGTCAATGGGCTGAATCTGTTCAACTTGGAAAGCAGTCATTATCTCTGAGGGCTTTTTTAAGGGTATCTCCCAGAATGAACTGGATAAATTTTTCAGAGAAACTTCTGTGGAAATGGAACCATCTCTGTGAAATCTTTTTATGAAATCTTTTATGAAATCTTGTTGATTTAAAAAAAAACAATTAATGAAAATCATTCCTTGCTTCATGCAGCCAAACACATTTATCTTAGCTCTTTTCTCATGTGTACATTTGAATGTTGCTAGGTCAATAAATGCAGAATATACAAATAAATATGCATGCATGTATCTTTACAGGACATAAATCACAACACAACTTGTCTTTTCAATTGTGTAATTTAATGATGAAAGTGAATGACTCTAGTGAGTTTGAGGACAGTGGAAATAAGGCATTGTTTCATTCCATCAGTCAGCACCTTTCAAGTATTTACTTCTGCCATTACTTTGTTTTTGATGTTTGTTACCTGAGTTTCTGCATAAGTCTGAAGTATATAAAGCAGAAACAGCATCTTTTGCATTTTAAAAATCTGTGTAGAAAGTGAGGTCTGTTACCACAAACAGTGGAACTAGTAAGTGTGATTCCATGTCTGTTTTTTAAGCTTCATTATTCAGTTAATAAAATACTGTGCTAAGTGCTTTCAGAGTGTAAATGGCGTTAGCTGCTTTAGTAGGCATATACAACTTGAGTTTAGTAGTGGCTACCTGATTTCCTTACTGCTTTTGTTGGGTTATTCTGTTTTTCTGGGACTTGAAAGTTGCATATGAAGTTCTAAATGATTTTTAATAGGGAATTCTTAACTACTGTTAGCGAGTAGGAAAGAGATACAGAGAACTCTGAAAACAAAAACCAAAACCCGACAGTGTTTGGCTTTGTCAGGTAATTTAGTGGGAATACCTGGAGTTACCAACAATTTTTAGGGTCTTCATAATCTGAGGGGAAGGTATTGCTGGCATTCTGTGGCTTGAAAAAGAAAGCAGAACTTGTTCAGGACCTTTCCCTCCCTCTTCCCCCACTATTTGCTTTTGGGAGTAGGTTCTTCCTGCCAAAACTCCTCCAAGTGTTTCTAGAAATGTTTTAAAAAGGAAAAAGTCTGGACTACTAGACTACTCCAGTTCTTGAGTCAGTGAAAAGCTTCTTTGTCCACAGTTGTGCATTCGGAAAAAAAAATGCTGCTTATTTTTCTGTAAAAACTGACTACTAAGCAGGAAAGAAGAGGTGGGGTTGGAAATTATTGTTTCTTATAACAATATTTTAACATCTGTGAGCAGAATGTGCACTGAGTTTTGCAGTACTGGATACCTGCTTTACTCATAACTTCTAGCTGTAAGCTTTCTGAATTCTAAACACAGACAGAAAGATTATTCAGACAACCTGGAGGGCTGAAAGTAATTTCTTATCCTTGCCATGAATCACATGCTAAGCATCACGGCCTCACTGCAGTGTCAACCTAATAATTTCCTATCATTATGTTTGATCTCCTGCTCTTTGCTCAAAGTAGTGCTGCATCAAGAAATCTTAGCTGATAAGGAGATACTTACTGTGAAAATGGAATGTGATGGGCTTCCTTCTAGGGACTGATTTTTCATAGTTGACATCCACTCATTCAAAGCTCCATTCTCATGCCAGCGTTCTGCCTGATTTTATGGGACATTGCCTACTAGTTTTTTTGAAACAGAGCACAAGAACAACTGATGGCTGTTTACTAGCAGTATGCAACCTAAATTAATATTGATTGCAGGCTGATAGCAGTGAGGACATTTTATTTTATCATTCTGTTTTGGACTGTGATTAACAGAAGCAAGAGGTAGAAAGTGTCTTGAATAGATCAGTCTAACAGTAGTTGTCCTGTCACTGTAAATAAGCTGTGTGACAAAACCCACAGAAGTTGCAGCAGTAGAAATGAACAGCACTATTGGAAATCACCTTTTAGCATCAGTATCATTAGTTAGCCATGTAACATGAGAGAACAAGGGGAAATAAATGTTGGCATCATAAGGGGAGAGATCCAAGATGCAGTAGCATTTGATTTTTTTTTTTTTTTTTTTGAAATTGTCCAGAATTTATGCCAGGTAGAAATGAACACAGGTGAGTGGGATAAATTTAAAATGTTTTCCTGTGGAAATAAAAGCTTGACAAAGTTCTTTCCCATGTACATCTCTCAAAATCTCAGTTGTAGATTTCAGACAGACAGTACTGCTGAGGAAGTAGTACTGAGCTCACCTCTGAAGTAACGTTAAGACAGATGTAGTCTGTTGAATGTACATGTGCAGATGTTTGGCACGTTGGGGTGGAGAAAACAAATTTGGTTCTGCCGTTCTCTCATGGCCATGGAGAAACACTAAGGAGCTGAAATAATTCATAAAAAGAAGAGCACTGGCCAAGAAATGCCACAAGATGTCTGAAATCCTTAGAACATGTCTCCTGCCTTTTCACAAAGGATGAAAGTGAAAATTCTGCTTGGAGGCTTCATGTCTTTGGAAGTCTGGGAACTACAGAGAAAGGGGCAGCTGGTTTGAACTGCCTGTGTTTCTATCTCAAGACCAGCGTAACTCAGTATGGGGATAAATATAGTGAGGCTGGCATCAAAATAAAGGAATAAAGCCTATGGCTATGTGTTCCTTTTAGAAACAAAATCAAATTTGTTCCTATAAATACTTGGAGTGATTATCTATTGCCTCTCTTCTGTGTGCCTTTAGAGTATCTGAATACCTTGTATTTTCTCATGTGTTACTAAGCAAAGCTGGAGGGGAGAGGAGAAGGGGAGAAAAAACCCTGTACTTTCCAATAAGAACTTCTGTGGGAATATCACATCACAGTAATATAGAAATAACCATTGCCCTTCTGTCTTTTGGCTTTTTTTGTGTAGGGTGGTTGTTGTTGTTGTTGTTCTGTGATGGGCACTTAAATGTATTTTCATTTGCAGTTTAAGATCTTAAATGTACCGATGTCTTCCCAACTTGCTGCAAACCACTGGAACCAACAGCAAGCTGAACAGGAGGAGAGAATGCGGATGAAAAAGCTCACTTTGGATATCAATGAACGCCAAGAACAAGAAGACTACCAGGGTAAGAAAATGAGTGTGCCTCATTTTTATCATCAGAAAATCTGCAGAAATACCTGTGATAATTAGCAGTACAGGTTCTGAATATTCATTTGTAGCACTTAATAGAGAAACTCTACTTTGGTTTGTTGTTCTTTACGTATTCCCTGTTCTCTGTGCTCAAAAGTTTTTGCAGCTCTTCAATGAAAGAGAGTTTTAAAGTCTCAATAAATAGCATTTCTGTTTAGTTTGGAAGAGTAGAAAAATCAAATTACTGTTCCCTTTAATAACAACAACAACAAAATCTACCACAAAATCAACCTGATGTTTGTGGCACTGTCTCAGTTAGAGGAAGAGAATTGAATTGGGTGCAAGAAATATTAATTAAATTAATTAATTAAATTAATTAATTAATTAAAGCTCTTGTTTTTGAGTATAAATAGACAAAACCACTTGGAGTCTTGAAGTTAAGAAAATACTAAGTAGTGACCTCTGCCTAGTAAATAGAATCTGTTGCTTTAGCTTCATGTTGCTAGATGTGCTGGGAGCTCTACAAGTCTGAGTGTGGGAAGAACATGTTAACAAAGTTTCATACAAATTATGTGATCCTGTTCTTTTTACGAGTGCAGAGACCAAGCATTTTGGAACATCAACAAATGGAAAGGGTACCACAAATTCTATGTATCCCTAAACCACTGCACTGGATAAGTTTGGTTTTGTTTCAGGCTCAACTTTCCTTGGCTTACTCAAACAGCAAACAAAGTCAAAACAAATAAAATTGATGGTATTCAGTTCTTACGTTAGCTTTTCCATTTAACATCTCTGAAGTTCCTGCTCTTTATTTTTTTATTGTAAGGATGTTGCAATCTGGTGGTAATCACAGGATGAGTAGTTAATTATCAGGAAATCTCATTTAAAGTGTTCAGTGAAAGGTCATTATTCATCATGAAATGGAAAAATTTAAATTAAAGCAGCTCTAATTGGAAAAAATAAAATAAAATCAAAGCATGGTATCTAACACTTCATCCTGGATTTTGATAATGCAAGAACTAAGCATGTGATCCTCAAAAGGAGTTTTTTTTCCAAAGCGAGTATCTACAGAGCTCTGAAATTGTATTACAAATATGTTCTTACTATTAAACACCATCTTCTGCTTATAAAAATGTTTTCCAAGCCTTTTAGAAAGCTCCTCATGGAAAAGAAGCAGTAGATGTCAGAATTACACTCTTAGGTGCTTTTTTCAGACTTCTAATGAGTTTCCTTCATTAATGACAGTTCGACTTTACTAATGATCAGGGTGTTTGTATTCTTGGTTTATTTTAACTTGTCCTATAAATTTGTGGGTATCTCTAAAAATCAGTCTGTTTAAGTTATTATTTTATTGTAGCTGTGATTCTTACCCAGAAAAGATGGCATTCATTTCGTTGTTGTGAAATGATTTAGGCAGAAGTCAAATAGCATTCCTGTTTAGAGCTATTTGTGCACACATTTTTCAATATGTGTGTATGAAAATGTGCAGTTGATTGGTCCTTTTGAAGAGTCTCTTTGCCTGTAACAAGTTGGTGAATTTATGCAGGCATGAAAGAGAGTTGGTTTTAAACTTCTGTCTCAGGCTTTGAAGTTACCAAGGGAGTTGGAACTTGTAATGGGGTTCCTCAAGGTTGTCCTTACATATGCACCTAACCTGTGTAAATGGAAAAAGCCATAACGAATGAAAATTCACCTGTGTGAAGTACTTCACTATTAAATACTATTAAATAAATTATATTTAGTAATACTTATTATTACAGGCATATTAATACAGCTGTGTATTTGGTACTGGGTGACTGTACACGAAAATCCGAACTGGATGCTGCTTCCCTAGAAGATGAGCAGCACGCCCTCAGCCTTGCTAATCCATTGTGTTCCCTTGCCATTTCTTCTTTCCTGTAGCTTCTCATTTTGTCTGTTTCTCAATTACTGACTTTTCACAAATTCTACTGATTCTTTTTCACCAAGAAGTCAGACATGTATGTGGTTCATTGCTTCAGCACCTGCCTGACGGTGTGCCATAATCTCTTCTTCTTTTCTTCCTGATCTGGTCATTGCCTTCTTACGGAGATCTATCCTGGTATGCTGAACTGTTTTGAAGGATGTTACTTTCTGATGTTTACAGATACGGGCTGCTCAATGTCCTGAATGGCTTTCTTTGCATTTTTCCCAGGTTTCAATGCGGTTTACTAACCGTTGACACCAATACTGTGTATAAAATCTTTCATCGGTTCATAGTTTCTCCAAGACTGGATGGATAGCTGACTGAAAGCTTTGTGTACATTTTGTAAATGACCATACAATCCCACGGGTCTCCAGTTCTGACTTGTGCAAGTCTTTGGGAGAGTGGTTGAAGTTTGTTTCTTACAGACGATGAGCGCGTGTCTCCAATTCCAGGTTGGAGATTAGCAGAGATTAGAGAACCAGACAGAACAGACTTTCAAACATAATCTGTTTAACAGCTTATTCCACTTTTTCCCCTTCTTTTTTTTTATTCCATCCGTTTGCTGAACAAGGAAGAGTCTTGCACAGGTAGACTGTCAGAAATATTTCTGTTGGACGCTCGAACACATGGGCAGAGTTTACGTGAAGGTTCCTGCTGTGTATTTGTAATTATTTTGGATACTTAATAACCATTAACTTAGTCTCCTAAAGAGCAGTTTTTATCTTAACAACAATGAAATGAAGTCTTGCCAAGTGCCAACACGTCATACTTTTACCTGTCTTGAGCTGCCCAAAAGTTGGGTGTCCAGGGCTAAAGTGGGTGCTGATGCCTCTTCTGCATCCACCTGCTTCTTCCCACTGATCATACAGTGAAAAATCCCAGCCAGAAGACAGTTGGTGTAATGTAGGTCAGCTGAGTCACCCTCCTCAGGTGTCTGTCTTCTCTGTAAAACGATCCTATTAGGGCTACTTTAGACAAAGTCCTGACTTCTAGATGCTAATTTAGGACAAGTTTCTCACTGAGTTTTTAATTGAGAACAATGTTGTCCAACTGTTACTATTTCAGAGCAGTTTTATGGTATGGCTCCTCACAGTGCTGTGAACCTTTAACCCTACTTACTGATACAGTCAATGGCTGATATTTTTGGAAAGAAACTGTCATAGCTCTGTTATGAAGCACCTGCAATGAAAGCCACTGCTGGCAGTTTCTTCTACAGGAACATCTGGAAATGCAAATTTACACTATGGGGTACTGTGGGTTTGTCAGCGCAATTTTTTAAATTGAAAACAAAAAGCTGTAGAATAGCATGAAAAATGTTGACCCAGTCACAGCAAAGTGTAAATAAGTATTTTTAAACTAAATGTGCTCGTGTAAATTCGTCTTCAATAAGATGTATAGAAAATGTGTTTAACTTTCTTCCTGTATGAAATTACAGAAATGCTGCAGTCTCTGGCACAGCGTCCAGCTCCAGCAAACACGAATCGTGAACGGCGGCCTCGTTACCAGCATCCAAAGGGAGCACCTAATGCAGATCTAATCTTTAAAACTGGTGGGAGGTAGGACAATCTTCTTCTTAAATGTTTTAATTCTGCTTCTGGGCAAGTAATTACCTCCATAATCAAGATGGGTAATGATCTGCATAATTCAAGTAGATCTGTTGGTTGCTTTCTTTCTGTTCAAATCCTGAATAAGATTTTGTGCTTCTAACACAGCTTCTATGAATACATCTTTGACAGAGGCTGGGAAGGCAGGGGATTATTTTTCAGAGTCGAGCCTCTTTGTTACTGGGAAAAAGATGCAAGTCTGCTTCCCCAGTGAGAGGGGGAAGAAGATACACAATGGTTTCTAGAGAATCTCTCTGTGGCTTCTTTTTCACACAGAGGTGATGACACACTGGAACAGGTTGCCCAAGGAGGCTGTGGATGCCCCATCCCTGCAGGCATTCAGGCCAGGCTGGATGTGGCTCTGGGCAGCCTGGTCTGGTGGTTGGCAACCCTGCAAATGGCAGGGAGTTGGAACTGGATGATCATTGTGGTCCTTTTCAATCCAGGCCATTCTGTGATTCTGTTCTTAATTTGGTGACCTATAGATCTCTGTCCAGTATTTAAAAGCCTAAAGGGAAAGAAGATGCAGCCAAGGCAGGGAAGGGGTAAGAAAACCTGTCACTTGTGGTGCACAGGAGCATAACAAAAAGAGGATTAACATGAGAACTATTCCTTAATGGTCATTCCCTAGCCATTGCTTAATAGTCACTGTACAGCTTTAATATAATCTCAGTCTCTTTTCTTACTCAAAGTAATCTTCGTAGAATAAGCTATGATATTTAACTCTGCAGCACAAATCTGAAAAGACAGAGGTTCAGATGAGATGCAGTATTTTCACGTTTCTCTTTTTGAATATTAATTTTGGAGCTGGATATATGGAGCAGCAAGCAGAAAAGGAAAACTTCACCTATCAAGTCTTTGTAAGCCACAAATAAGTTAATAATGTAATGTGCTATGTTACAGCAATATTAACAACTTCTCTGGTACATTTTTGTAAGCATTTTATGGCATTCTGATCTCTTATTCCACTGGGTCCCCTATTGCTTTTACACAAAAACCTCTTTTTTTAACAAGGACTGCATTTTAAAATAACTAAATGTAGCTCAATAAAATGAGTAATGCTGCCCATTCAGCTTTTTCACTTCACTGTGGCCTAATACTGTCATAAAAATAAAAACTATTGAATTTTTCTGAATTGCCATAATACCTACAAGTGTTTCACAGCTAGCTGTGCAGTCTTCTCTTGTAGATTTTTGTCATCTTTCTCAAATACCTTGCAGTCTGTGCAAGGAGTGCTCTGAAGTTACTCCTTAAATATAGCAGCGTGCCCAGCAGATGTGATACTCGAACAGTTTATGTAGTTCTTTTCAAAGCTTTTTTTCTCCAAATGTTTAGGAAAAACATAATATAGGATTTTACCATAAACTAGGTCAGACATTGTCCTCAGAACAGTTTGATCAGTGTTTGCTCGCTCAGATATTTGTGCCACGTGCTTGCAGTTCCGATCAAATTTTGTGTTATGTGATTTGCTCTTTGTTCCCTTTGATCTATAAGCTCCTCAAAGCAGAGACCAGGCAGTTAGTTTTAGTGGGCAGGCTTTATTTGCAGCATAGTGCAACATTCAGGCTCGCAGTCGCACATCAGTTGAGCCATCTCAGCCTGTAGAAAGAAAACTTCTGAACTCACAGCAAAGGATATTTAAGCAGAGCTTTGTTTATTGAGGACTGGGTCTGCCCATGGCTTACCACCATAGTACAGGTAATACATCACCTACATTTGTAAGAGCTGCTGACTTACGGGATGTTTTCAGGATTGTCTTCTGACTTTGAAGGATGGGTTGCAGTGTTCCTGCACAGGCTGCCCTCGCTTTCTGGTCAACAAATTACCCCACCAACCTCCATGTGAACACTGGTCTTTTCCTATTTATTGAGAGCAAAATTTTCATGTTAAGCAATTAATGTTAGTATCTGTTTGAAAGAAAGTAATATCTGTTCACTACAGATTCCCATACATGATGAGTGAGCTTGTTTGGGTTGTATTTTTTATGTACAAAGAATAGATCAGTTGTTTTCTTGCAGTATTAACTCTAAATTTACTGAAAATAATTATGTCTGTTCTTTGAGAGAGGAGATCTAGAATGAAAAGTTGTTTGAGGATAAGAAAGATCTGAGCAAGTAAATCTCCTAGATTCCATTGTAAGGCACAGTCTCACAGGTTCTAAAGTTAATGGCAAGATGAGGGTTTTGGTTGGCTAAGAATGGAAGAAGAATTTGGTGTTTTAACTGCTAAGCATACCCCTAAGGACCAACATCTCAAACATCTTTCAGAAAGGTGGATCCAGATCTTTCTGTCATAGTAGTTGACTCAAAAATTAACAGAGCTCTCTTGTATGCTTTTGGCCCTGCACAATCTGGTAACCCTGAGTGCCCAGCAGGCTGTGACCTCCAGAGGGCCCTTTGAACCTCAAGTTTGTTGTGGTTCTGTTTTGGTCCAGCAGGGCCCTAACATAAATAAATGATCAGGATAGTTCTAAAAACGATGTCTGACTAATGACAGCAATTTCCCCTTTCCCCCCCTCACACATGCACATTTGCAGCCCTTTCACCTGCAATAACACCACTGTAAGTGGGAGAGTGAGTGAATGACAGTGGCTGTAATGTGGGCATCACATAAATAAGAAAAGTCTTCCTGTAATATTTACTCTATTTGTTAATAACCTGTTTCTGTGGTGAAATAAATACCGCACAGTTCTTGTTCACCTGCTGTAGGGAACCTGCTTTAGCAGGGGGGTTGGACTCAATCTCTGGAGGTCCCTTCCAACCCCTATAATTCTGTGATTCTGTTATTTGGTGTGTGCTGAACGCTGCATCAAAAATCACAGCTTTCTGCTGTTAGTTTGTAATTGTGTGCTTCTGCAGCCTCGAGTATTGGCACTTACTAATCCTGCAAGGAGAGGATTCATTTTGGGACACAAACATGTAAGGCTGACTGACTTTAAAGGCAATGTACTGTGATTCCAATTGAAAGTGGAATTCCTCAGTTTGCTCCAGCAGAACTCAGCAGACAGCTGTCTTCACTCTTACTTTCAGATCTATGGCATTGAAGGAGAACTCTGGTTACCCAACTGTTACACTTCAGCAACTCTACAATGTTACAACAATATTTTTTCATGTGGTATTATCAGGAAAACACTCTTATTGAAGTGAGGGCTGTTCTTCAAAACTGTAGAAGTTGTTTCCTTGTGCTTTAAGAGGACTGAGGTCCATTAAAAGACTTAGCTCATAAAAGGAAAAATAAATAACCTCATTTTATGACTTTCTTTTAAGCATAAGCTTCCAAGACAGAAAACAGAATTACACTGAGAGAGGTCTTCAAAAAATCAAAAACACTTGGTAGAGTTGAGCCTTGTCTTAAAAAAAAGCCAGCAGTCTCAAAACTGGCTGCTGTTCTGAAAGTGCAGCCAAGGATGGAGGACCTGTCGTCGTCAAAAGGCCCACTGGGATGCGTGCATAAGCTGACAAACTAAATCATACTTAATTGATAATTTCAGCTCTACAGTTTGCATCTGACTCTTATTTCCCTTTAATAAAGAAGAATGAAGCATGAAGGTAATAACAGGATGCTAGGATTTTATTAGCCAGATATTCTCATTATAGTATTTTGTTAATGCTCTGAAAAATGAGAGTACAGCTAATAAGGAAAAATGTGAATTTAACCTCATGGTTTCCTGTTCCAGCTGCTGGATGAGAATACTTCTTACATCACCCCCTCATAGCTGTTGTACTGATCAGTATTACATTTTGAAGCTTTCCACTCACTTATTAATGGGATGTCAGAAGCCACAGGCAGTGTGAATCAGGTTGCTCTTATCCTGTTCACCTCGGCCTGGCTGGCTGCCATTCCCTTGTGCAGGGCAAACCCTCAGGTGCAGATGTGGCAGTGTCTCAGGAGTGGACAGATGTATTCCTTGGTTCATCACACTGCTTATGAAATCCTCAGTTCTCATTTCCAGTGGTCTTTTCCATTCTTTTGAAGATATGGGAAGATCACTTCTTCAGCAGTATCGCTTTGCTCTTGGTTAAGACAGTGAAATTGTTCCCATCAATGTTTTCTCACTAACTTAAATTCTCCCAATTTCATATGTAACGGATTCATCCTCATTTCCTCATATGTACTGAGGATTGGTGTTTCTGAGCATTGTCACAAGTCCCAGTTTTCTGCTCCAGGTAAAACCCTGCATCTTTATGTCATAGGGCATATTGGCCACTGCCAGCAGTGTGGCTGAGAAAATGACTCTGATGGTGTTACAAGTTGCAGGCATTAAAACAGAGAAGGGAGGCAGAGGAGGTGGTTGTAAAAATTTGCATTCATAGTTGAAGTTGCTTTTAATGACAACTCTGTACAGAGTTTGATCTTGCCAAATACAGGTTTGGATGGAGTTCTTTTGACCCCCTTTTGTTCATTTTTTTTTCCCCTCTTATTACTTGCAAAATTGCATAGCAAGTGCATAGCTTTTGTCTTTAACCAACTGACTTTCAGCTGTTCTGTGCTGGTTATTGGTTTGGGGAAAAATGCCACATGAAATTCCTGTCTTTGGAAGTAATGCTGCTGCCCTGACTTCTACCAGCAGCATCCTGCCCCAGTCCTTTGGAACACTGCTCCCCTGCCCTATCTGTCACCAGCACACCATGCCACCTCTGTTTTGAATGAGTGTGATTTGTACTAACTTAAATACATGCAGCTAGTTTTAACAGTTCTCCTTCCCTCTGCATCAGCAGTGAAATTATTTCTAAGGGATGCAGGAGAGGTAAAAGCACAATTCTGCAATTCACTGCTCTTGAAAGCTTTTTCCCTCACTTGTAGCATTCTAGTAAACATGTTAAGACTGAACTTCCTTACATTGAACCACACAACCAATGGTTTTGAGTGTGCCAGGAGTTGGAATGTTCTGTTATATTAAAGCATGATTACCAGCAGTGCATCAGCTCAGTGCTTTCTGACAACTTATTGTGCTTAAATCACAAGAATACTGAATAACTGAAGCACTGAATAACAAAACAATGGGATACATAACAATACCAAACCATTGTGGAAACCTTTCCTGTTAAAATAAATGTGGAAAGTGCTATGTCTTGTAAGATGTCCAGTAAAAGCTAGTTTTAGATTAACTTCCTGTTTAACAAAAGCTTGAGGTTCGTGCAGTAATGTAAAGAATATGGCCTGATTTATTTACATTGTAAAAGACTTGAGTACACGGTGGTGCAGCTTCCTTGTGGGTGTAAATATTGTCCAATCTTTACCTTGTTTTGCACTACAGAATTTTAATTTGCTGTCTAGAACTCAGTAGATAAGGAGTTCAGCACAGCTCTCAGCTACTGCATTTGAGGCAGTGAGACCCAGTTAGCATTACTTGTGGATTTCTTTGTCTTACATCATTTGCAGGAACGTGATACAGTAACTTCTCAATGCATGTTTCATTTCAGTGCGTTATCACATCAGCTGTGCACTGCAGCAGGAGGATAAGTCCGCTCTCTTTGTTCTGGACCGTTTCAGATTGATCTGGTTGTGTAAGGAATTTGTTTCCTGATGCGTCTGCCTTATTTTGTCCAGCATGGTCTCTTTTAAAATGTATATGGATACTAGAAATATGTAACTTCAATACGTAGAGGCTACAGGCTTACCAAAACCACCAGCAGTATATCGCAGCGTTTGCTAATGAGGATAGTAGGGGATATTTCTCATTAAACTATTTTTTTTTGTCTTTTCTTAGGAGACGTTGATCCAGCAGCAAGTGTCATTTCATTAGGTCCTGTATCTCTGATGTTGTGGATAGTGGAGTCCTCCAGCAATTAAGTGAGAGCAGTGGACACATCTCAGCATGTCAGTCTAGAGCGTTCGGAATGGAAACCTGGGCCAGGCTGGGGCCGTGGGGCAGAAGCAGCCTCCTCTCTTCCCCCCAAAACCCACACGGAACGCGTGGAAGCTTCCAGTCATGGCCTGCCAAAAAAAACAAACAAAACAAAACAAAAAAAGCTTTTTGCAATGGGAACCATGTGAGGGTTACTCTTCTCATAGGAGCCAGAAGTGAACGAATGAAATGGTCAGCTTGACCAGCGAGCAGCTCAATGAGAACTGCGATCAACCTGAAGCTCAGATGGATGACACTGGAGTGGAAAAGGTCTCGATGGCTCAGAGTGGGGGAAAACAAAGTTCTGTGCTTGATGCAAACTGTATTCTCTTTGTGTTGGAAGGCTATTCTTTGGGGGCTGTGAATCTACAGCTGAAAAATGGGGAGCAAACAGTGAAATGCGAAAGAAAACTCTGATGTGGGAGAGCTTCTTATCGAACATCAGCTACTCCTCACAGATCTCTGGTTAAGGAGTGAGCTTTTGCTGCCAGACAAGCAGGAAAGATGGGTTGGGGAGTGGGGAGGGATGAAAAACTTAGGAGCCAAGGAGGTAAAATGTTTGTTAAGGTTTAAAATAGAACGTGAAGTTGATTAACACGGGGTGTTGACTCATACTGCTTAGAACAGCCTGACACCAGCCTAAGGACAGGGATATAGCTGAGCCCATTGTATGTATCATTGAAAACCAAAACGTGCCAGTCAGCGTCACGGGGAGGTTGAGGAGCGGAGCCGATGTGTTGTTGATCTTCATGGGTTGGTAAGCCTCTGTGTCTATTGAAACAAACAAATGAAAAAGTTTAAAAAAAAAAAAAAAAAAATTAAAGTCTGGAAACAAGTAGAATTTTTATTTTTTTTCTAAGTAGAAGTGAGGTTTCTTGGTCTGTTTCTGACAATCTGTTATTTATTAGCATAGGTTTTTGTTTGCTTTCAGGTAGAAGTAGTTAATTCAGTTAAGGAGCTCACCTGTATGTTATTACTAATTCTTTTTTTTCTAGCTCTTTTGAAATTCTTTTTATCACTGTTTTTGGTTTCTGCATGTAGGAAGGGAGACTTGTAAAATTGTAACATTTCATAAAGAAATGCCGCCCGATCTTCACCAGCTTCAGAAATCTGACCTTTGCCAATGCTGCAATAAAGTGTTGTAATTTAGAAGCGGTGTCTGTTTCTTTACATTGATTCAAGATTTTTAAAACATGCCACTTACATCATGTTCTTTAATCCCAGAATTGAGCAGGGAAGTTGGGGAAGTGGAGCTGTGTGCAAAGGAGCAGACGTAGAGCTGCAGCGGCACGCAGCGTAACAGCCTTTAGGGCGCGGAAGGCCTGCGATGACTGGGGCACGTCTGCCCTGCAGACCCGGGTCTGTCGTGGCTGTGGGTGTGAAGTGCCCTACGAGGAGGAATGCTCTGTGCGAAGGCGAGTCTGTGGTTCAGGTCTGGGATGGAAACAGCAAGCTTTTATGAATCCCGTTTGTAACTGTGCTCCTTCAGAAGAGTCTGAAGTTCTGCAACAAAATTCACATCTCTTGAAGTTCTGCTTCCATGATGACAAATACCTGTCCGTTCCTCATCGTTACAGTCAGAGCCTTGATTTACTGAGGGTGATTTCCTTTTCTTCCTTTGCTGCTGAGGTCCAAAGGATTCCATTTCTCCACTGAGCGTTGCCTGAGCTTTGACAGAAGCCATGGATTACAGCAGCCTGCGTTTGGTGGTTCTGTTTCGGATGGCGACTCCATTGAACAAAGCACAGCTCACACAGTGCTGGCTTTGTACCTTTGCAGCCGATTTAACCCTAAACCAAGTGCTCAAGAATTGTACATTTTGGTCGATGCTCTTCTGTGATCTGCACGTCTCACTGCTTTGCCCGCATGCAGGATGTTTATTTCTAGCTGACAGCGACTCATCTCATACAACCACACTTGTCCTCCTGTGCAGTGACCCAGGTGCTCTGCCATGTCACTGGAGACATTTGAGCTCTGCTATCAGCATGGGCAGAGGACAGAGGATGTCCTTGCCAAGAGGATGTCACAGCAAGCGATCCAAGAGCGCTCGGAAGCAGTGAGGGGCAGAGCGTGTTCCCATCTGGGAAAACGTGCGTGGGTGAATGAGAAATTGCTTCACGTCCTTGACTGCATAAAGGATTTCTCCCCTGTCTTGTCTTCTTCTGGAAAGAATTTGGACTCTTTTCCGGGCATTTGAAGCTGAGCTTTCACTGATGCTCACATCAGTGCTCATGGAGCTGGTGAGCAGGAGGTGCGCTGTGTGCTTTATGGCACCGCAGCTGAAAGCCTCCGTGGGCTCAGGGCTGTGCAGCTCCTGCGTGGAGGATGGGTCGCAGGAAATGATTCTTGTGAGTGGTGAGGCACTGGCGAGGTGGTGGTGATTGCTGTCCCTGGAGGTGCTCAGGAGATGTGCAGATGTGGCACTGAGGGCTGTGGTTAGAGGGCATGCTGGGGGTGGGAGGATGGTTGCATGGGATGATTGTGGTGGCCTTTTCCAACCTTAATGATTTTGTGATTTGAAGGTGGTGAGGCTCCAAAACTCTCAAGTGTGAGATTCATTGGGATTGTAGTTAGGGGCAGCACCTCGAGCTGCAGCTGATGGACGCTGTTTTTTTTACCTTGCAATGCTGTCATGTGATAAAATAAGCAACTATTTTTTAAATTATGAATTGCTGAGCTTTCAGACTTGCTACAATTTTATTAACTTTCAAGTCCTCCCAAGAAAGAAGCCTGTTCCGTTTGTTAACCAGATGAAATTACCATATTCAGCCACAGCTGGTGCATGCGAGGTAATTTGATGCACATTAAGGCATAGATAACAACTTCTGCATTGTGAAAGCTGCCTGCTTTGCTTGACTTTTCATCTGTTCCCTTTTGCAGCTGGCCTGTTCCCTCGCAGCATTGATTGTGCACTTGGCAGGAGCCCGGCACAGGAGCTCCAGCAGCTTGCTGATGCAGAATTCTCTTTGCTTTGAATGGGAACGTTATCTGACTTCAGTAAATGTGGTGCTGTTGGAACACGCTGACTTGCCCGCTCGTTTCCAAAGACGGATTTGGTCAGCTGGAGGCAATTCTGGCCTTTCCACCTGGGCAGCACCAGCATGGATACAGATGGGGACGGCCGAGGGCAAGCAGCTATCAACCTGTGCTAACAAACAGCCCGCGTGCGTCCAGCCACAGAGAAACCACACTGCAAAGCATGGTCAGATACAGGCCCCGACCTGCAGTCGTCTCGCTGTCTGTCTGGAGGTACAGATACATGGGAAAGTCATTAAGGGGCCTGCTAATTCCCCACAGTTGCCCACAAGAGGGGATGCTGTAGTCTTGAGGCTATGTATCCAAGAGAGAAATCTTCAGAAACGCCGTCACGCCACTGCCGTGAGCCTGCCACTGCCCTCACTCAGTGCTCTTCTCCATTCTCCCTTCTCTTTGGAGCTTCATAACTTGTTTGTTCTGTGATGATGCTTTTCCCCACTCCTGTGCTTCACTGTCCCTCCTCAGAACTCTATAAATAGGATTTCCTCACCAGCGCCGAGCGGTTCCGAGCGTGCTGCACACAGGAAACTATTTGGGTAGGAATCAAACAAGAGCCTGAATGTCAAAACATTGACTTGCATTGTTTGGGTTATAAACTTTGCCCTTAAGTTGTTATTGTTGGGGTAGGATTGTGACATTAAAACACGGTGCTTGTGGTCGCTGTCAGTAGAACAAACACTGAGCTGTTAAAAAGAACAGCGCTCCTTCCTTCCTCTCTCCTTTCCCTGGAGCTGAGCTCTCAGGCAAATAAAAATAGTGGTGAAGCTGAAAATGGTGGGGTAGGTTTAGATTTTGCAAGTGTTTATTTATTTGTTCTTTGATGTGCACCTGTATGAAAGGAATATGTTGTGTGTAGGATCAAGGGGAACAGCTTTTTCTTCTGGAAGCCAGTAATGATTGACAACTTTGCAGTGTTATCCCTAAAGTTTTTGGATTAATAAATTCTCTAAATTGTTAAGGCTGGAGTTTGGGTACCTTAATCCGTAATCCCACTCCTGTGTCCAACTCTACATCACTGCAAACTTAAGAGAGGTGGTGGATGCCCCATCCTTGAAGGCATTCAAGGTCAGGCTGGATGGGGCTCTGGGCACCTGATCTAACTGTAGGTGGCCCTGTGCACTGCAGGGGAGGGGGACCAGAGGGCCTTTAAAGGTCCCTTCCAATCTGGGGCTCCAGTGATGACTGTGTGATGATGACTCCCAGTGGATCCTTTTCTAACTGGAGCTATTCTGCGATGCTCAATCCCATGCCCAAACACTCTGTGGGTTTACTGCTACCTGGGAGCTCACCCCAAATCACAGCCAATTGCCTTTTGGCTCCAGGCACCCCACGGCTGCTGCGTGCAGGGTGTTGCCATGAGCGATTCGTGGGGCAGAGCCCAAGCACATGGGATGGGATGCCTGGGAAAGGCTGCACTGGGCAGACAGTGCCCATTTCCTGGGCTCGAACGCATTACAAAACTCATGTTGTAAAGAAAAATTACACCTAATCAGGCAAACAAAATCCAGTTAGGAAGGCAGGAAATGTTCCAAGGTAATGAAGTTTGTCTGTGTCGTGGAGCTTTACGACTGCCCTGGCGCTGGCTTCTATGTTGAAAATAGAAATGTGCTGACAACTGTTTCCTAATAGAAGTTTAAATATGAAGAAGTGATCTCCTTCTTTCTGCTGTACCTTGTTCAGCCGGGAGAGGAGGAGGCTCTGAGGAGCCTTCCTGTATTTAAAGAAAGGTTATGAGCAGGAGAGAGAGGGACTTTTTACATGGGTGGATACTGACGGGACAAGGGGGAATGGCTTTACACTACAAGAAGCGAGATTTAGGTTTGAGGGTAGGAGGAAATTCTTTACTCAGAGGGTGGTGAGGCACTGGCACTGCTGCCCACAGAAGCTGTGGGTGCCCCATCCCTGCAGGTGCTCCAGGCCATGTTGAATGGGCTCCTGGGCAGCCTGAGCTGGTGGGGGAACCAACCCATGGCAGGGGCTGGAAATGGGTGGGCTTTGAGGTCCCTTCCAACACAGGCTGTTCTATATTCTGTGTGTGTGCTGTTTTCCCTCTGCTGGGTGAGCAGGCAGAGAGGAGGGGATGACAGTCACACAGCTCCATGACATGTGCAGTAACAGAAGCCCAACAGGTAGAGAGCATTACAGGAAAACATGGGGGATGTTTGTTGGAAGTTTGTTGGAAGTTTGTTGAAAGTGACCTCCTAGGACCAATAAGGAAGTGAGTGATCGCATTGTAATGGAGCGAACTGAGGCTGAATCACAGGGAAGTAACTTAAGCAGGCTGGAGTTCAGAGCAGAGCCCAGGCTGTTGTTCAGCTGCTGGGTGACTGCAGGCGTGCCAGTGCACAGCTGGGATCCTGGATCCACGAGGGCACAGCCACTGTGAGGGGAGGGACCGAAGCAGCAGCCGGACCGCTTTGGTCAATGGAGATGTGCATCCTGTGGGCTTTGGAAACTGGAACTGTGCCCAGCTCTGGGGCTGAAGAGGGTTTTCTTTTATTTTCCTTTAATTTCAAACCTTCAGCATATGCATTAGCTGCCTTTTTTTTTTCTCTTTTTTTTTTCCTCCCTCCTCCAGTGCAGCCTCTCAGATTGATGCTCTTGGTCACTGGAAGGGCCACGTGCAGATGCTCCGAGTCCTGGGTCACAGTGTGATGCCACCTCCCTTTCGAGCTGCTTGGAGCTGCCACTCCTGTAACTCCAGTGGGTGCCGGGAGCTCGGGATGCCTCTGAATGCTCAAGGCTCTTCAAAACATTAATTACAGCTCACAGAAAGTACGAAGACTCACAAATGAAAGAGGAACTTAAGCTGAGCAGCCCTGCACGCCTGCCAGCTGGGTGCTCTCCTGTTCCTCACACCTGTTCAGTTTAATCCTGAAGTTACCCAAGCCTCTTCTGCTTTTATTTTGCTGGCTGCAAACAGCAGGAGGTTATTAGGGCCCAGTGGAAAACCTGCAGGCTGAGAAGCAGTGGCTGCCACCACCCATCTTCTCTTCCAAATCCCTTGAGCTGAGAACACTGCTGACCCTTCAGCTGTTTGAAGTGCGGCGTTTCCTCCTCTGGGAGAGGTCACTTTGCTCGGGAAGAGAAAGCCCACATGAAAAACGTGAAAGCGAAGGGTGTGTCCTCATGGAAAGGGTTTGGCTCCATCCAGTCTGAGGACCCTCCTTACCTCAGTGGGAAAGTTATTTATAAGCTGAGAGTCAGCCCTGCAGGAAAGAAATGCTGTGCATCCTGCATGCAAGCAAGGCAGGGGTTGTTACTAGAAGGAACTGTGCAGGTGGGGGGGAGCGGGGAGAAGTACTGCACTAAAGGCCTGATTCCCAGTCAGCTGTGAGAGCTTATAGCAGATGCATTAAGCTTGGTGTATCCCCACCCAGGGGCAGTGCACAAGAAGAGGGCTCAGCCCCTGCTGGGGCTTCAGCACTTGGGTTCCTGCCCAGTCCTGCTTGCAGGACAGAGCTGTGGGTCACACAGCCATAGCTGCATGAAGGTAACAGTCATTAGTGTTATTAGCCATTGAACAGTGGCTTTCTTCCTTGAAGGAAGAGGCAAGCTACCACGATAATGAATGAAATTCATTGGTTTTATCTCAATTTAATAGAGGATTTATTGGATTTGTGCAAGACAGTTGCTTCTAACATAAGAAAAAATACCACAGCAACATATACACACAAAACAAGGTACACAAAACAGAAATAAGGTTATATACAGATTATTAGCAGCTAGACTCATAGCTTCATATAGCACATGGCTTTACTCACTACAGTTTTAGGCACAGTGAAGAGTTTACCAACTGGATATTTGCTATGGTGAAAGGCTACGACAAATGCGTCATCCATGGGGACAGAATGAAAAGCTGAGTCCCACTTCCCCGCAGCTGAGAACATGGCCCTGCACAAGGCTGAAAGAACACAGTCCAGCTAATTCAGCACACTGCAGCTTTAGTATTAAACATTAAAATTTACAGAGATACATTTTTGAGTAGGGTTCCATTAGAGAGTCAGTGAACGGCTGAATTTCAGTGGGACATTGAGTGTCACCTCCCCCAGCTCTCGCTTAGCCTGGATTCTCAGCTGTAAACAACCCAAAGTAGAGCTGGCAGGGAACGATTAGATGTGAAGATTGCTCAGTACGTCCCTCACATGTATAATGTAAAGTTGTCTTTAACAGCATTCACAAGCACAGAGGCCATGAAACATTCAGGTTGACTTAGCAGGTTACATTAATAAATTATGATGCATCAGCCCCACGCTGTCCGCATGTGAGACTCCAGCCCAGGCAGCACTGAAGCAGGTGCTGTGATGCTTTTCTGTGCTTCCTTTTCTTCCAAATTGAGGACTGCAGACTGAAATCCCAGCAAAATAAGAATGTGATTTCCTTCCAGCATACAAGACGCCTTCTTTGTTCCAGCAGGACTTCTCACGTTTGATTATGCATGCTTACTGTTCTGCCAGCCTCAGGAATGGCTGCATTTCTTAATCACTGGGTGCTTATGTACAGTATGGCTGTCACAGGGAGGAATGTGATCACAGCAAAAAGGCTGCAAAGAATTACTGAGCAACAGAACCGTCCAGATACCGTAACAACACAATTAAACATTTAAAGCAGCAAGCAGATAAATTAAAAACAACAACCAAAATCTTTAACTTATGAGGCAGGTTAACAGCGACGAGAAGATTCTTCCTTCACAACAGCTTCATTTGCAAATACAGCTCAGCAGGTTTGAAATACTTTATCACAAGAAATACAAACTTGTTTATCACAGTTATGTCAGAGCTCCTCTGAAGGGTGCGGCAGTTTCTATCATTGCCACTCCCCTCCTCCCCTCCAAGGGTTAGGAATCAGCTTCTCAGGGAAGAGAGGGGGCTGCTGGGGGCTTCAGAAAGTGCAGAGAATAAAGGAGTTTTCTCCTTTAGAGAGAGAGCCTGAGAACTCCTGCTTGTGTGGGAGGCTGGGGTTTGGCATTGGGGTTCTCAATGGCTGGTTTTGATAGTTTCAGGTATGAAAAGGAAAGGGAGTTTTACTACAGAAGAGCAGCTTTGCCATCTATGCTAAAAAAAAAAAAAATAATAATCCCAAAACATACCAGCACACGTTTTGGGACCATCATGAAAAGCATGTCTGTTGAACAAAGGCAAAATACGCTAACATGGACCCTCCAGGAGCAATGTACTTTTACATCCCACTCTCTCCTGTGACTCCATTTAGCCTGCAGGAATTTTGGCTGTAATTTGTTATGTATTGGCAGGGCAGAATCAAATAAGGCTCTGAGCAGAGGGTTATTAGATCTGTCAGACTAGAGGAAAATCAAATGAGGTTTTTTTTCTTTTTAGAAGTATCAGAATTTACACCTTTGCAGTGTAGCACAGCTGGTGTTGAAAAGCAGCAGCTTCTTCATGGGAACACCAAGATGAAAGGTGAGACTTCTGACAGAACCCTCTCACATTTGGTACGGAGTTGACTCGTTCCTATGGCTTCTCCTACAGAACAGCTGGGATTGCAGATTGTCAGGAGGCTCTTTGGCTGGCAGTGCAGAAAGCAGCACAGGGCCCGTATCCTTGAGGCCTGTCTGGTGCCTTGCACTGGACACAGGTTGTGAGGGCAGGGCCAGGAAGCAGCAGCAGCTGGGAAGAAAGGAAGGCAGCTTTGAGCAAAGCAGCAGAATAATGCAGTCACCCACTCCAAAGCCTGCGCTGCTCCAGTGAGAAGGTCAGAACTGGAGCTGCCCTCTGCACAGTCTTCGGTTGAGCGGGCACAGAGCAACAGAGCAGAAGAGTCCGCCACCAGAAGGGAATGAAAGCAAAGCCTGATAATACAGACAGCGCCACTGAAGTGTCACACTGGTCACAAGTTCCAGTTTTGACTTATCTTGAGCTCCCGTAACACAGACGTGTGTGCGAGACAGAGCTCTCGTGGGATTTTTGGCTTTAAAAAGAGCAAAAGGAAGATTGTCCATTGTTTGCTATGTACAACAATACTGCACTGTACACTTCATTAACTAGCTGTCCTCTGCTACAGTCCAGCATTACTTAAATAAAATTCTTCTTAACCACAAAGAACAACAGATGAGTCTCTCTACAAGAAGCAGGGCAGAAACCCACCAATGTATATGGCCTTACACAGTGCCAGTCTGTAACTAACAGCCATGCTGCAGTACCAGCATCTCCTTAGCTTGCTTGAGGCAGAGATCTTCCCATATCTCCTTCCAATCTGATCCCAATCCCATCAGGATTGTTCCAGCCCAAAGTCAAGCTG